TTTTTCTATATATATATATATATATATATATATATATATATATATATCATTCTATATATTCATGTAATTGGGATCTGTGTATTTAACGCGTCACGTACTTGCTTTGTTTGATCATAATTTCCAGTGGAATTGGCAAACTATAGTCATCGGAGTCTGTTTCTTGTCTTTCCTCCTTGTCGCCAGATACGTCGTAAGTAATTATTTCCCACAATATACACACATATATATATATATGCATATATATGTATTCTTCTAAATGCTTCTTATAAATTTCAGGGAAAAAGAAACAAGAAACTATTCTGGGTCCCGGCAATAGCTCCCCTTACTTCGGTTATTATCTCGACTTTCTGTGTCTACATAACTCGTGCAGACAAAAAAGGAGTTCAAATTGTAATCTCTCTCTCTCAAACACACACACACATATATGTGTGTACATATATCAGTGAATTGGTGCGTGTAATATATATATTGCCTCCATTAACATTGATTGGCATGAAATAAATATCTGAAGGTGAAACACATCGATCAAGGAATCAATCCGTCTTCGGTTCACGAGATTTACTTCACCGGAAATTATGCCACCCATGGAATTCGAATCGGAGCCATCGCCGGTATGATCGGCCTAACGGTAAGTCCATGTATATATCTATAGATTTTGTCTAATAATGTTAAATTATATTAGAGCTTGGCTGTACAAAGTGTACGGAACTGTTGGTATCAAAAGCAGAAGGGGAAAAGAAGAAGCTAATTTCATGACAAATGGTATAAGAAAAATGTGACGATTGGCGATTACAAAAGACTTTTAGATTCAAACTAATTAAGAAGAATATTTTATCTTACATAAAAAGATAAATGATGAATCCGAAAAAAAAATAAACGAAGAACAAAACTTGTGATTTTTTTTAAAAATATTTGTATTTCATCTGAATCCGAAAATCCTAATACAAAAACCAATCTAATAAAAGTAAACTGAAAACAAACCAATCTCCCATTTGAACAAATCACTCGACCGACATATTATAAAAAAAATACCCCTATTTTGATACGTGAATTTCGGATCATACCCTTTTACATTTTTTTTGGGTGATCGGGTGTGACCATTGTGACCATTGTGACCACTAAAATTATATGGTAATTTCACTAGTCTCACCGTTTTAAATTTATATGGTGATTATATTGGTTATACTGATCATACAAAATAAATTAAAGAAGGTATTCTCTAAATTTGATATAATACCTACCCGGGGCAACCACATCTAAAGCGGTAAAAAATGGCATAAACCATCTAAGAAAAAGTCAATATATTTATACAGTAAAAAATTAAATAATTTTTTTTGTGGGAATATATATTTCAGGAAGCAGTGGCGATAGGAAGAACATTTGCAGCGATGAAGAACTATCAAATTGACGGTAACAAGGAGATGATTGCATTGGGGACAATGAACGTTGCCGGTTCAATGACTTCATGTTACATCGCCACTGGTACTATATTCTTTTTAAATCTCTTAAATTTTTTCCAATAATAACGATAAAATTGAGATATTATATTAAATATGTGTTTGGTTATGTCGGTTTGGTTTAATTTGATTCGATTTACTTTAGTTATTTCTGGTTTGATTTGCTTAGGGTTTGTTTATATTTTTCTACTTGTATTTAAGGAATTTTTCTTTTTATTTTATGAACAACAGAGAGAAAAACTGCTTCTATTGTTTTGATTGCTTCCTGAAATATATTACAATAGTATATAATGAATTAAGGTGATGACATTTAATTAGGGTTTATATAGATGGGCTTATATAATTCGGAGAGTCAAATTATATTGAATAGACTCGTGAAGACATTTGAATTTGTAGATTAAAAAATAATTATTAGGTAATAGAAATCTGACAAAAATACAAAAATACGGCAGGATCGTTTTCGCGTTCAGCGGTCAACTACATGGCGGGATGCCAAACGCCGGTCTCGAACATAGTGATGTCAGTGGTGGTTCTCCTAACGCTGTTGTTCATAACGCCTCTCTTCAAATACACCCCAAACGCGATTCTTGCGGCCATCATCATATCGGCGGTTCTCGGTTTGATCGATTTCGAAGCCGCCCTTCTCATCTGGAAGGTCGATAAACTCGATTTCTTAGCCTGTATGGGAGCTTTCTTCGGTGTCATCTTCGTCTCTATCGAGATTGGTCTCTTGATGGCCGTAAGTACAAAAGGATATTAATAATTATCAGAATTATAATTATGTTAAATCCACGTCATGACAATTAATTAGATTAAATCTTACACTCTGAAAATATTCACATGAAATAATAATGTAAAGGGAAACATGCGTTTGATGTTATATCATATCGATCTAATCTGTTATTTTATATTTTTTAATAAAAATGAATCATATATACGAGACAGGTTGTGATATTTTTCGGAAAGATTCTATTACAAGTGACGAGGCCGCGAACAGCTGTTCTTGGGAAGATTCCACGAACGAATGTGTATCGCAACATCCAACAGTATCCTGAAGCCTCCAAGATTCCCGGAATCTTGATCATCCGGGTTGATTCCGCTATCTATTTTTCCAACTCCAACTATGTCAGAGAAAGGTACTTTTATCTTTACCTACGCATAAACAAAAAATGCATATATATATATATATGTATGTATGTATCTGTATTAAGTGATATCGATACATTTTATATCGAAATGTTTTTTTTTTTGGGTGGCAGGACATTAAGATGGTTGGTAGAAGAAGAGGAAAATGCCAAAGAGGCGGACTTACCGGCAATCAAATTCCTGATAATTGAGATGTCACGTAAGAAAGAACTCATTTTACATACATACATACATGCATGCATACGTGCGTACATACATACATACGTACATACGGGCATAAACCAAAGTAAAAATTCAAACCTACGTACGGGTTGAAAGCTACAGAGTATATACATGTAAACCACATTGACTGAAAATTTGTCTAAATTCCCTAACATATATATATATAAATATTATATTTATCAGCTGTAACGGACATCGACACTAGTGGCATACATTCCTTACAAGAATTTCGCCAGAGTCTCAAGAAGAAAGAAATTCAGGTAACTAACAAAAATATCCAGCGTTGTCCATTCATTTTACTAAACATATTACTCACATAAAATTAGTATTAGTTTTATATGTGTGAAATAAAATCAATGCGTTATTTTATGAAAGCGAAGAGAATTTTCATCATCTTTTTCAGTACATTCTATTAAGTAAACATGTTTTGTACATTGTTATTGTTCTTAATAATTATGAACAGCTTATTCTTGCGAATCCGGGACCGGTGGTGACGGAGAAGCTTCATTCCTCGAAGTTTGCCTACGAGATCGGAGCGAAAAACATCTTCCTCACAGTCTCCGACGCTGTGGCCGCCTGTGCCCCGAATTTGGCTCACGATCTAGCTTAATATTAATCTCTACGAATATAATTCATACATACACACATATACATATGTGTATGTGTGTGTGTGTGTGTTTATATGAGAGAGATGAAACGAAGATTGGTTTGGGAAACGTTCGATATATATATATATATATATATATGCTGATTGCAAATAATTTTAAAAAATATTTTGATAAAATCTTCACACAACTCCGACTTTTTTTGGTTTAATGTGATTGTTATATTACTACCAAAAAAATAATCCGAAGGTTTACATGAATTTAACATGTACCAAAGATCCCGAGAGATAATGATTTATATTACAAGTGAACAAAAATAACGAAGACTTAAATCTCAGTCATAATATATAAGGCGATACCATTGTTGGAGGGGGTCATTTGATCCGGTAGAATCCGGCTTGTGCAAGGTTATGAGTATGTTCCGCGTTATCCTATCGATCTTGAACCACAATTGTTGTGGCGAGTTTGCGACGTCTTTATGTGTCCGTCTCTCCTTTCATTTTTTTCTTGATTTGTGTTTGAGATGGATAAATAAGATGTACCCAACAATTCATCTTATTTATTTATGTTGTCCTGTGATCTTAATATTTGGGTTTTTTTCGATTATATTCATAATTTAAAAACGTGCCAACAGTCGAATTCTAATTATAGTCATTATTATATATATATATATATGGGTTAAATTTTAATTATGAAAAAAAAACTAAAATAAATAAAAGATTAAATTCACCATTCTTATAAACATCAAATTTACCAACGTAACCGAAGATGAAATTCGTTTGTAATTTACGCCTCAATATTTTCTATTATTTATCCAAATTATTTCATAGGTTAGCACTAATGTCGACAAAAAATAAATGAGGCTACGAGGTATACAAAGAGGAGCTTCACTGTCAAATCAAAAGTGAGCCCTAAAAGTTATCTAATGGACACAAGCAACCAAGTTGCTTGGAACTGAAGCAACCCCTCCGGTATCAGCCCAACACCTTCCGAAGTGCATCCACCAACTGTTCTCTCCTTGATGGCTCCACCTTCATCGCGATTCAGATTCATAACCACAGTCAGATCTCCCATTAACACGCAAAAAAGCCAAGAACATCACATCGGAAACTAGGGTCTCTTTACCTTGTTTAGCAGACTAGCAATTCCGAGAGGCAGAGCTTGCAGATCCGAAGGCGAATCTCCAATCTCCGACAGTTGATTCAGCAGTTTCTGCAATCTCAGCTCCTTCACTTTCGTTTCGTAGTTCCCGACATCGTTCTTCCATGTAAAGAACGCTTCATCGTCTGTCCACGCGTTTTCTTCCTTCCCCTTCGCGATTTCGGATTCAGAAAACCATTTCTGGATCAAACCCATTGCGGTTTTATACGGTAAATTCTCTCCGGCAGCTTCTCTTATGGATCTGACCAGAGAGCTCTCTGAAATTCTCCGGTTGAGCTTCTTGTAGAAGAAAACCCGTGAGTTGCTCAAGTTCACGACACTTCTCATCACTCCTTTCGCTGCCATTCTCATCGACGTGTCATGAAGCTCCGCGAATTTCGTGGCGATTTGGATGTAAACCGGTAAAAGCTGTTTTTCTCTTGCCTTGATCTGCTGTTGCAGAAGCTCGATGTCTCCGTAAGCTCCAGTTCGCTTCGATTCTTGCAGATTCGCTTTCAGATCGATGAGTTTCCCATCAAGCCTTCCCATGCATTCTAACAACTCTTTCGTTCGGAATTTTATCTCTATCGTTCCCTCCGGCTCGAGTACGTTGCCTCTAGCAGTTCCATCGGCATACATTTCGACATAATCCGAGTTTATCCGGCTATCGATCACCACCCAAGCTCCACCTCGTAGCTCACCCATCATGGGGATGTATACGAATACTGGCTGCCGATATGTTCTGAGATTTTCGACTATCGTCGAACCTGCCTGGAGAATTCCCTCGAAAAGATCCCTCTGCCCACCCGAAAACCCTCTCCAGTTTGCGAGGATAAACAATGGCAGCTCCTCCCGGTTGAAATCCATGAGGGCTTGAGCCGTCTTGGTCGCTGAATCTGGAAACCAGACCTGCCCGGCTTGAGGGACCACTCTTTCGTGTGAGTCGAGCTGTCCCGGATCGGCCGGGATGATCTGCATCACGGTTTGCGTCTCGACAGCCACCACTCCGACAGGAATTCCCCCGAGCTTTGCTCTACCGGTCACAACAGTTCTAGCCCAGCTTTCGAGAGTCTCGACAAAGCTATCTTTATCGAAGATTCCGCCAAGCCATTTACCGGAACTGTCAGTAATGCCGGCTATGGCAGCTCGTGGGTCGCAAGAATTCTCCGGAACATACTCGACAGATCTCTCCGGCGGATCCGATGGAGCTAAAATGGGAAGCGGACCGCCCATGTAAGCAGGAACATAGCTCAGCCATTTGAGAATCGCTGATATGCCTTCGAGATCATCAGATACCGTAAGATGAACGACGCCATTCGTCGCCATGATTTTCGGCCCGCCGAGTTGCATGTGAGAGCTATAGACCTCCCGGCCAAGCAGTTTGTTCAGCGTAGAAAATCCTGTCAAGATTATCGGCTGGTCTAGTCTCTGTATGCACCGCATGCCCAGGCGAGCGAGGTACGCACCGATTCCGACTGTTCTTCCACTGACAAATGTCAAAGTGAACGTTTCGTTGTAAGCCCTCGAGTACGCACCCGCAATTGCTCCACTTCCAGTCAAGTTCTCGACTCCTATACCATCTTCTTTACCGACAATTGTGTCAATCACCCATCTGATTTCTCCGCTAGGAAGCTTCATTTCATGTGCAATGACCGATGATCCAATTCTCGTGTAGTCATCGAGGCTTAGGTACAAATAATGAAACCCATTCTCGGGAGACGATTCATCCGACCATCCGACTTTGAAACAGGCCTTGACTTCCTCGGCTACACCCAGCCGGGCGCCGGAATTTGCTGCCAAGTAAATCAGGGGAAGCTTCTTCTCGCATGCGAGTTCAGTAACAGCGAGGAAGAACGCATCCTCCTTCGGGCCAAAGGAACCAGCTCTGAACGTCACATCATTGGCGACTACGAGAATTTTTCGGCCCAAAGGAAACTCGGGAGTCGACATCTCCATGAACCAAGCCACCATTCCAATGTCGTTAAGACCCAGTGACCGTTCAACCGTAACAAGAGGCGTACACGAAGAACCTTCAGAATTCGAGAACACCAGCTCTGTGACGTTCATCAGAACATTCCTGCAGGGTTTACTCACTCCCGGGTGTTGTGATGCCCACACCTGATCCAAGGCTGTCTCGAAGGCCTGAAAAAGAGCAAATAAAACGTAAAAGACAGAATTGAAAGCGACAAGCAGAAGGAATTCTGCATAAAATAGCGGAATTAGATACTCACAAGAGGGAAATCATAGCAATAAGTCGTGTTACTTCTCCTTGCCGCTAGACGTTGCCTGTCCAAATATCCGAGAGGCTGATAATGAGCATTGATCCGTGTCCCGTGGAGAGGACCTTTCTTCGATATCGAATGGTAAATCAAACTGTTCTTGCCAGTGGCTTCTAGTTCCCGGTATATCTGATGGATCAAATCACAAGCAGTTCAAGATGTTTACTCTGTTGAAACTACTAGGTGGGCAAGGGTCCGTACCCGAGATTTTCAGGTTATCCGAACATCTCAAGTCTTATGAGATATTACCAGATCTCGAATCTATTTTGGTCGGGTACCCAAAACTCGGATACCTGAGATATCTTTCGGATATCCAAGGTATTCGAACCAAAGTTTAAGTATGAAATTTCAAATTGTTTCAAAATAAGTATCATATATTATGAGTTGACTTGGGTCGGATACCTAAAACTTTCGGATTACTTGAATCTGAACTCGAAATTTCAATGGGTTTTATATGTGAAATCGCTAAAACCTATAGAGGCAAAACTGTTACATTACTTTCATTCGATATGCGCGGGTAATACCCGATCTAGGATCCAAGTAACCAAACTCGAACCCACAGACCGAGTTGGCACCCGAATTTCGGATTATTTTTTGCCAAGCGAGACTTACATGTACAGTGCATGTATGTCCGGTCACATTCGTTACCAATACCCTCCAAGCACCATTTGCTAGCCCCGAAGATTCCAACCAAAGCCGCACTTCCCATTCACAGACACCTAACCTGTGCATTCTCGGGCCGACCGACCCGTGAATTTCTCGGGCTGCTTCTTCTAAGATCACCTCAACTGTAGTTTCTTCATGTTCAGCCATCACTTCAACTCTTCTGCAAGAAATTACATCGAAGGTCAAGAAGACGAGATAATAATGGAAGAACAAAGACTTTCTTCTCGAAAGATAAAAGGGATAGCAACCTCGGGTAAGGCACAAGGTCATCAATCTGCTGCTCACGTAAAATGCAAAGGAACATATGTGCATGATCCGGTTTCACTGTAGCATTGTGTGAAATCAGTTCCAGTTCTTCCATGGCAGCCATTAAAGACCTGAAGATGCATTTCGAGGTAAAGGGCATCGAGAAAAGTGTTTGGCTGAGTTGGTTATCTAGCCCTTGCTGCATCGTAAACCCTTCGTTCATCGTGGACTGTCTAACAAGCGATCTGAGGAACATCCTCTTGATCGGCACTGGCTTGTCAGTGACGGTATACAAATGCCATTGACGGTCCCGCGAAGGCGTATACTGTATATTCTCGTACCCTTTAAGCTTATCCTGCATCAAGAAGCAAACAGTACACAAATCATTACACAGAAAGGAAGAACCGTAAAAACTAAGTTATACACGTAAAGAGGCAAGATCATGGACCAGCTCGAGGTAGATGGACAAAGGAGGTTCGAGATGACGCAACAATGGCTCCTCATAGTAATTTTGTTTCTCCGATGACCAATGAAATGAATGTCTCATCGGTGCTCGCCCTTCATCTCTCTGAATTATACAGCTAATCACACCGACCCCTGCAGAACAAAGGCTCGAGCTGACTTCTTCCTCTTTAAGTATTTTAGCCAACTTGTTTATTCTCTCCTGAGCTTGATCCTCATCCCCACTGCAGAATATCAACAACAACGGCATCAAATTATGCGGGGAATAATCGTAACTTTAGCTAGTTTATAGACGTTGTAGTACGTTCCGGTACCTATCCTGAAGCAAAGACATCTGATTATTGATGCCCACCAGAGCAATATGCATCATATTACCAAAGACAACTGCTCTGGGAGATTCATGGGCATCGTGGTTTGTTTCTCTCAATGCTGCACTTATTATACTCGTAAGAAATTGCAGGGATTTGATTATAACCATAGCTCCCCATTTTCTCTTGCTGTGTTTCTCAACCAACCCTTTATCAAATGCCTCCTGATGTTCTGTACTGCTGTTCTTCCTCTCCATATGCTCCTCCAGGAACTCCCAAGAAGCAATAAGACCAGACCGATGCCACTGCATCCTCACACTATCTTTAACGAGGTATGGCTGACGACACAAGTGAAAAGTTAAGTAAAGCCAAGGTTGTCCTTATTGAGTAGATAGAGGGTATACAAGAAAGGATTTTGATGGATAAAGGGTGAAAAAAATATGAATTCTAACCTGATATAATCTGCGGATATAAGTCTCGACCACCCGTCTCTGAAGTGTGTGATCGCTGTGGTCAAACAGTCCGACGAGGGCATCTTCAACGGCTAATGGAGCGCTGACAAGATCTTCCATTCTTTCATTAATGGCACTCTTCCTCTTGGGAGTATCCATATTCTCACCATCCTCCGTAAACATTTCTAACTCGGAAAGGCTTCTGGCAATGTTTGAACGAAGTTCACTCAGTTTGGTTTGTTCCAGCAACTGACTCGCCTTGAGCGCCAACTAATACAATAGAGAACTGATCATTAGCCTGCATGTATTATCATCCGAAGTATCATAAAACCTAAAGGAACCTGAAAGTACCTCGGAATAGTTAGTATGATTAAGTGCTGAGAATCTGATAAGCTGATCTCTATATGCAGCAGGATTAGGGTAAACAAGCTGCTCCATCAGCCGGAGAACGAGTTTGTTCTTGTTTTTGATGCCCTGCCAAGAAGAATGATCAGGGTAATGGTTCGGTAATGTAATAGGTTTTTCTTCTGATAAAGAAACAAGGAGACACGATGGAGATGAGAGAAGGATAATAACAAAACCTGGTGTGAGAGAACAATATCGACAATCTTCAACAGATCTTTCTTGTATTGCTGACGAAGACGTTCTATAACATCAGCCTGAACAAAGTACAATGACATAAGATGCGGAGATAGATGTGGAAAACAGGACACTACAAACTAATGAACGATATATTACCTGAATGTTGTCATTGAATAATTCTTCTACGGAGAGATATTCTTGGAAAAGAGATTGCACTATAAAACGGGCATGACTTTCCCTCCCGCCTTCGTAAGACTTCACAAGACTCATCAGTGGTTCAACGAGCCTTTCAAGGGCTCCTCTCTCTTTTTCACCGCAGGATGATAGATGAGCCTGTATCAAGACGTGGACCGGGAATAGCGTTCTTCAGAGGCAAAAAACAAGACAAGAAAACAAATCTTGGACAGTGATGCGGTGAGAGGGGTAAATCACCTCGAGAACGGCCCTTAGTAATTTGGCAGGGAAATCCACGTTCTGGGAATTTATTGAGATACCCTCAAACTCCCTATATTTCAGCTCCAACTGATAAAAAAAGGTTTAGAACAAAAAGCATTCAAATGTCTCGGAATGTGAAGCAGAATAATAACAAGTGCATAAATGATTACCGCATTTCTGAGATCTTTAGGTAAACGTGTAGCTAGAACTGCAAAACACTCTTGCCACTGAAGGAACGGGAGTTCAGGGCTATCTAGGCAGTTAAGCAGGTCTTGAACCACCTGCATTACATTTGCTATCTTGTGAGTTAAAGATTCTTTGAGCCAAGTTAAGTCTAACAACTAAAACAGGAAGAAAAGAATCGCTTTACCTCATCGACATTATGCTCATAACCGGCAAGAATCATGCGAGCTGCATTTAAACTTGCAGCACATCTCTGATGAACTTTACCAGCTATTGCAGTTGGAGGCCCCAATCTTGGAAAGCTTCCATGGAAAGGCTCGGCCTTTCTTACAGCTGAAGGGTCATCAAGATCGAGCTTGGCTATCAGCTCACCAGCCTGTCGACAAAATAATGAATGGACTATCAATTTAGAGAAAAGGGTAGAAACAAACAGTTTATATAATGAGGACTGGAACTGGAACGTGGTGTTTACCTGCATGGCTTGCCCTTCTGACATTTTGAAATGGATAACTCCTGAAGCAGGTGAAAGAAGTGGCATGCACATCTTCATGACCTCAACTTCCGCATAGGGTGTATCAGCATCAATATGGCTGTTATCTGAAACCAGATATCTCAGCAGCTTGCATGGTGTCTCGGCCATCAATTTCGAGGGATCATGATCATTCTAAACAAACCGAGCAAAATACGTTACTGCATTCATATTGTTTTTCAGAAAACTGCAAAAGTAGAAAAGATAAAACAGAGAAAATTATGTGGAAACCTGTAGCAAACATGTTCTTCCATCAATAAGAAGACGGGTTCCCGCCGCTTCTTCCTCTGCATATATCACATGGCTGTTGCCATCCAACTGCGACAAAACAGGGGAAGTAAACCAAAAGAGGTTAGAAATTTCTAAAGATAGTGGCAAAACACATCATATAACCATCTTTCTCTTTCATAATCCATGACCAAGGATCAGAAAACCTGCCTGCATCAGCAGACCTCCATCACGTAGAGTGTGTATTTCTGCTACAACTTCAGAGTTGTTCATTCTTAGCCTGTAGCTTCCTGGTCCAGCCCGAACCACATCAATCTAAAAAATAGAATTGTTGAAGTGGGTGAGCCAGTTCCCTTTCTGGGTAACCATATTTTGAATACAAAGATAGAGTATGTTGACACTATTGAAACACATACAGTGTACTTGCTTCCTTCAATATTGAGAGACACTTGAGAATGCACAAGAGATATATGCTGCAATAAAGAGATATTCCGGAGTCAGATATCAGATCCCTTTTACAAGACAGGCGAAAGAAAGAGGGCTTTCACCAAAGTACCTTTGGAGGGATTTGCCCCTTTTCTAGATAACCGACATAATCTGAGACAACAGCAGCACTGCTTGCTGATGCTTTCTGTACAAATAAATCAAAAAGATATGAGCCACATAGAGATAGAAACTTGTTAAAACAGCAAAAATCTCTGAGAAAGAGGTTCATACATAGAGAGCCCCGCCAACAACGGAGAGATACCATGGAGGCCTTTCTGCTCTGACCCGCATAGCAATTCTACTGTCCAACCAACCAGTGTGTATTTTGTTCTCCCGGTAGTCGGAAGCCTGTAGAAAATTTGAATCGCCTTTGGTCAGGATGCATTGCAAAATATAGAATGTGAAGTCTTTCATGTGGGAAGAAAGAAGGGTACATGTAAAAGGTCGATGGTGTAGTCCACGTTGGTCCTAATTTCTCCACGAATTTGTATTTCTTTCAAGCCAAGAACCATATTGGCTATAGCCAGTGCCCTGGATTCCCCAAATGCAAATACATGTCCTGGACAGAAAAGATTCAACGAAGTCTCAATTTGTGAAGCTCCCAAATGCAGATGCATCAGACACGTTCGAAAAAATCATGTTAACGTGTATATTACAGTTAAGATGATAAAAAAGAATCTCAAAACAATAAAAAGAAGTTAATCTGCTCAAGAACAGACACAAGAGAAGTAAGAAACTTACCGAACTGAGAATCTGAGAACTCGTGGATGCCTCCTCCAGACTAAAAAAATGAAAAAAGATTGTGATATAAGCTGTAAGCCATAATAAGCAAGTGATATGGTAGAAATCATACATATATAGATATATGAATACACACACACACATACCTTCACAGAGAAATATGCCCACACATTTGGTTTGCTCTTGAAGCTCAATTCCTGTAGCAAATTCAAACAAGTATTACTATTACCCGAAACAAGACATGCTCAATTAAAAATATTTAAGCTGTCTCCAACAGAAAATCACGTTACCTGTACTTTGCCGCTAGTAGGTTTAAAACCGTCATCAGGATCCTCGCTTGTCACACGTACAGCCACACAATGACCTTTTGGTCTTGTAGACTCAGCCTTGTCAAAATCAAAAGCGGAGGCAAGAGCAGATGTATTCCTCCACGAATCGTAACCTCCACCATGATCCATACCATAGAACCGCCTTATCTCTAAAAAAAATCATAGTGAAACAGATCGTACGTTTCATGTGGCCATGATTTGGCAAAGGAAAAGCTTACATACGGAAAATAACCAAGGATGCATATATATATATACCAGGGATTTGATAGAGAGGAATTCCCATCCCTACTGCAACTTGAGCTGCAGGAAGGTTTATTTCGGCAATCCACTCAGTCACAGGGTGCTCCACCTGGTATGAAACATCAATTAAACATGTATTCAATTTCCAAAAATGAACCTTTCAATGGAATTCGCATGGCAATGGCGGTCTACAATGAAAAGCAACCTGTAAACGAGGGTTGAGCTCTAGAAAATAGTACTCCCCGGTTTCCATACTGTACAGATACTCAACAGTAGCTGCTCCGACGTAATTAACACTTTTAGCCAACCTTCTAGCTGCCTGTTCAAGTTTCTTGACTGTGTCTGGTGGAGCCACAGTTATTGGACCCTCCTCTATAATCTGCCAAGCAAATAATAAGGTAAGAACTCATGCAAGAATGCTGCATCAGTGTTGAAAGTATAACCGAACTGAGAACATAAACAGCATTTCTAGAGAATCAGAATCGAAAATCCAGTATCAACCACCAACCGACCTTCTGATGTCTTCTCTGGACACTACAGTCACGGCTATGCAGAGCTGCCACATTTCCATATTGGTCACACAGCAGTTGGACCTCTAAATGTCGACTCTTTACAGAAAGGAAAAGAATGAATTAGAAAGAAATTTCATATCATTCCAAGTTGATCTCTTTACCAAACTATTCATTTAGAAAAATCTGATATGCTGACTTCAAGAAGTATATAGCCAAGTCACTTTACCTGCGAAGCAACCTTCATTATGAATATTGGTGAGCCAGGAACCTCACCCTGAACTTGCTTGAATAGAGCCCTTACTTCATCGTCGTTATGAACCTAAAAACCCGAAGAGAAAGCACAACACATTTATATACATGAATCAGCTAAAAGCCTAAAACTACTAAAACCAACTAGGAGAGTGACATTCCAAAGGCATCTCAAAACAAACCAACCTTCCTGATGCCTTTACCACCACCGCCCCAAGATGCTTTGATCATTGCTGGGTAACCAACAACTTGACAACTAGCAATTGCTTCCTCGGTCGTGTGAACACAAGCTTGCCTGTAGATCTCTTCAGAGATGGTTACCAAACAACTTTCCGGAGGAATTTTAACCTGAAAACATAATAATTCAGCATTTAAAACGGGGAAAAATTCGCTACCAAACAAATTCAGCTTCGTAAAGGAGGATTTAATTACATGGGAACCGCTCCAAGGTAGAGTGGGTACGTTAGCAGCCTGGGCGATCAATGATGAACCAATTTTATCGCCCAGTGCTGCCATTGAAACGGCTGGGGGGCCGAGAAATATAACTCCGTTTGCATTCAGAGCATCATATTTCCGCGCCCCGCCCTGCCATTGAAACGGCTGGAGGACCGAGAAATATAACTCCGTTTGCATTCAGAGCATCAGGTAACTCAGGGTTTTCAGAAGCATGACCCCAACCAGGCCATACTGCATCTACACGTGTTACTTCGGCCATCTGCACATTGCATTCACAGATAAATAAACAGCTAAAATGAATGAAGTTAGATCCAAATATCATACCCTAAAGACAAGCTTCTTCCAAAACATGACACCCTAACCACCGTTCCATACCAGATAAGTATGTATCACAGAGTCCAATTTCTGATTGATATGCCCAACCTATTCAGAATTATGCATATGCCACAGAAGTCATAGCAATCAGAAGATAATCCAAGTTAGATTTGTACCTCGACAATGAGTTGAACATTGGCATAGTTGTTATTATTCGTTCCTCCAGGTACTTCCACAAACTGATCGGCGATTCTAATATGTTCTGCATTAATCCTCATGTCTTCAGGGGTAGCCATAGCAACCAACAATATGGCTTTCTCTGTGCCAAACGTCTCGTAAGCCCATGTCCTAACACTACGTATAAATTTCACAGCCGCCATTCCGTTGTTCGCAATCAAAATACTATGGATTGGCTTTTTCCCTCCAAGGGCACGACAGAACTCGTCTACTTCAGACATTGCGGCATGATTTCTACCGGGAACTACTGCACTTGGATACCCATTCACGCCCCCAGTGCCAGCCATTCTTACCATCCTTTGGGCTTCAGACATACTGCAGAACGGTAAAAACAGACATAACAGGATCAAGAACTCGTAGATTTCTGTTATCAAAACGAAACTATCTTGCTAGGAATCATGGGTTTCATTTCAGAAACAGGTTTGAAACGAAGGTGAATTACAAAACTGGTTGGCCTCAAGAGTGCATTTTGGAGAGAGAGAGAGAGAGAGAGAAAGAAGTGGCTCCTCCGTAAGCAAGATCCAAGAGCATCATTACCAACGAAAGACGCCGACGTAAAGTATGAAACATTCAACCTTTAAAAATGCACAACTCATAAGCCACATCCCCAAAAAAAAACAATAAAGTACTCTCTCTCTTTTTTTTCAATTATGCGATCGTTTAAAAAGAAATGTGAGAGATCTAGATTGGAACTAAAGATTAAGAAACCCACAAAGAAACTGGAGAAAACAAGCAAGAAATTCAGAAACTTTACGAAACCCAACTTCGATAAGAAATTGTAACACACCGTCCACCAAACAGAAGAACATGAGCAAATTGAAAGTCCCAAACTCTGATGAACGCTCAAACAACACAAAATCATCCAAAACGATGGCAAAATCCCAAAATCTGGATCAGAAAGTTGGATGGTTTAAGACCGGAACTTCGACATCAGCTCGAAATCACAAACAATCAACACAGTAGGCAGACAACCCTAAAAATGAACAAACCCAAAACAATCAACACAGTAGACAAACAAACCTAAAAATGAACAAACCCAGACTTAACTAACAAATTCCGAACCTCGGGTAGAAAAGCTGGAATTTTGACAGCTCCTGATTGGAATTCGACCCGAAACCGATAATGGGCACTCAAATATTCATCTCAAAACGTAGAAAAAGGAGCGTTTCAGAGGGAAAATCCTGGGAAGCAAGGCACCAGAGAGAAAGAGAAAGAGAGAGAGGGTTTAAAGAGCGGGAGGGAATAGAACAAGAAGAGGGTAGGTTAGAGTTAGAAGAAGGTGGGGTCAGAGACTTAATGCCGAGACTTTTAATAATTTAGCAGATTCGGAGGAAGGAGATGAAAACAAAACTACAAGGAGTAGAAGAAGAAGAAGAAGAAGAAGGAGAAGAGAATGCACGTGGTGTCTGCCTTCACCACACTCCACAACCCCTCCATTGTTTTTTTTTTTTTTTTTTTTTTTTGCCATTGTCGATGTGTTTTCTAAGATCCTCGTAGTTGGGGAGGCGCCGTAAGAGCTTCCAATCTACCTCTCTATTTTTTAATTTTCTTTTTCTTAATAGTAAATTTTAATGGTTCCAATATTCATATCATACTTCTGTAATCTAAAAATTATACGCAACTTATATTTGACCATCAATTTATACAAATTATAGTGTTAAAGAAAGCAAAATTAATATCAAATTCGACTAGAGGATTTGGTTCTTATTTAGTTGGTCCACCAGTTTATATAAAATATAGTGCTAAAATGTAGCGAAATCAAAATCAAGTTCAACTAGAAATATAGCCAAAATAAAAAAACATAAATCAAATACAGGAACAATATTAATGGATAAATAATTCCAAAAATCAAAGAAATTATACGCGATTTTTATTTATTTATTGGGCAAATCAAATGAATACAACTAAAAATCGTATGAAAAAATTACATCACAATTGTTAGAATATAACATATTGAATCGATGCCCAAAATAAACAAAACAAATGGTAAAGTGAAGCAATTAAAAGTCACACGTTCACGAATCTTGGACAATTCACCAATATAAAAAGAATATATTGAATCGATTAATAACTCCTATAAAAATTCGAAATCCGCGATCTGAATATCGCCGTTTACATTTATAACAATAATATTTTATATTTACTAAATTTTACAAAGTTATTTTAAATTTTTTACATTTCGAAATTCGGGTTTAAATATCCAAAATCCACATATATTAATTCAAATTTCAAATTTAATAACCGGTCGGATATGCTAATGTCCTAAACAAATTTAAATACTTTTATACGTGTCCAGATGTATATTCACACTTTTAAACATAATTTCGCATTTATTTAGGAATGCTGATTTGCATGACTTCGTTTTTGAAAGAGTTTTATGATTTTGGTATGAAATGTTGTGTCCATTTACAGTTATTACACATAAATTGGTAATACACGCTTTGTTTGAATGAACTTATAAATATTTGTATGATAAATATTTAACATATATTTCTTTTAATAATACAATGAAAGTGACGTAGATTTAAAATACAACCGTTTTGATATTGTTTCTTGACCCTTTTTTTTATTACTTGTTACAATTTTCTTAATGGAAATAATAAAAATGGTGTTTATAGCATTGTTAAACAAAAATTATTAAAATGCCATAAGATTAACCAAAACATGTTTAACTTGTGGAAACACAAACGTTCTCAAGACCGATTAAAGAAAGAAATGAAATGTCTTTATGGATAAAATTCTTTGAAAATTTTTCATACATGTACCAATAAAAATCGTTCTAGAGCATTTGGTATTTTAAAATATATATTCGTCCAAATATAGAATAAATATTATATATATATATTATTTAAAAATTAAATGCACGCGATTCTATTTGAAATATATATATGAAAAATTCATTCAAGCTAGGCTCAATATGTATCTATAATATATGAATTATAGAAATATCATTTTCCATCTCTAGAGGTAGATGGATACTTCTCATAATCTTATTCTCTCGATCAACTCATATGTTTATTCTCTCAAAATTTTCTATATTTTTTTCTCCTACCATTTTATTTTATGGGATCGAATGGATAAACTTCTGAAATCTCAATTGGTTTTTAGTTTTATGTAATTTCAGTTTATTTCTTATCATAAAATGTTTCTAATTGGTATAGAAAGATATTATTCTTAGAATATTATCATTAATATTGTTATAATTTACCCTAGATATTATGTCTAGAATATTCTATTGTATTTTGCTATATATTATGATGTATTCTTCTCATTATCAATAATAGAAAAACATTTTACCTATTATGGTATCAAAGCTTCGGTTTTTGCTCTAATTTTTTTTTTCCTTCTCATCAACAATGTCGGTCGAATCCGAAAGCGACGATGAAGATGACAACGATACTAAATCCAATAGTATCATCGTCTTGAGTATCGTTTTAAATTTATTTTGCTCTTTTTTTTTCTTCTATTTTTTTTTACCCGACGGCGGTGTTCATCACCGTCAACCCTAGCCGATGTGCTATTTTTTTTAACGACGATGTTCGTTTATCGACGTCAACCCTAGCCGTTGTAAGTTTTTTAAACATGGCTATTAGCCTCTTTCGATTGGAAAACTCCGATCGTCGATCCACGTATTTGCGTCACTTATTTTTATTTTCTTTTCTTGTCCCACTGCTAGACTATCACGCATTATGCGTCGCGCTTTTGCGCCCATTTTTTTTTTCTTTTATCTGGCCTAGTCGCTATACACACCGCAATTTTTTTTTGCGCTGCCGACCTCATTGTCGCGCAACCCAACTCGCGCATATGCGCCGCACATCCGTGCCACATCAGCCTCTGAGAATACAACTTTCAAGCTCTTCAAACGTTATCAAGCAACACCAACTCAAGTCTGGACTACACCAGCACATGGAAGAAGATTCGTTTAATACGATCACAATTTCAGTTTTTAGTTTTTATGTAACAGGATTGAATTCATCATAGATGATTCATCTTGAGGGGGCATATAGGAAGATATTATTCTTAGAATATTATCATTAATATTGTTATAATTTACCCTAGATATTATGCCTAGAATATTCTATTATATTTTGCTATATATTCTTCTCATTATCAATAATAGAAAAACATTTTGCCTATTAATTGGATTCAAAATCCTACGGTCTAACGAGTTTTTTTTTTTTTTGCCACAGAGGAATCAAACATAATGATGTTTTTTATAAACTATATTCGAACTCAAACATGCTTATAAAATTATAGTTTAAAACAATGGATTTTATAAGTCGGATAAAAAAACTTATCGGTTAAATCTGGTGTCTTGTTATCCCTTTGGGCGAATGATATCCTTGCAAATAAAAAGCTAATATACAAATTATACTTAAAAAAAGATTAAAAAAACGTTTTCTAAATTTTTTAATTATCCCTTAAACAGGTCAAAATTACTAGTTTCGTACGTTTTCATGTTCTTCGATTATTTTCATTTCAAATTTCAAAACAAAAAATCATAACTCTCAATTTTTTTTTTTTTGTCTTTTATCTCTCGATTTCTTACTATTTTCGGAATATTTTACTGGATAAATGGTGTAAAGAAGGTTTTTTTTTTTTTGGTAACGATGGACTGTGTAAAGAAGTTTTTATTAAGAAATAAATTAAAAACAAATAAACAAATATTAGTTTATATTAAATGGGAAAATGGTACGTGTAATGTGTTGATTGAGGGTTGGGTGTTGCAGTCCACCAAACTTTCATCTCCCCCTTCTTGGTTTGAGATCATCCTACGTTGTCCTTTTTTTTTAAAATTATTATTACTATTATTGTTAATTTATTAATTTATTTTTGCTTATTTAATGCGAATATCATTGATATATATATATATATATCCTCCACGTATATATATATATATATATATCTATAAGGATTATTCAATTATAGTTTTAATTAAATTTTTGCATGGGGGTTGGTATTGTTGGGAGTTAGGTGTTGCAACCTCTCTCTCTCTATATATATATATGGGTTAATACATTCTAATTCATTCAAGCATTTTACTCCATACTATTTAGTATATTATTATTATTATTATTATTATTATTATTATTATTATTATTATTATTATTATTATTATTATTATTATTATTATTATTATTATTATTATTATTATTATTATTATTATTATTATTATTATTATTATTATTATTATATATATATATATATATATATATATATATATATATATATATATCCTTTTAACCTCTGTTTAAAAAATATATATATCCAATGTTTAAGTGGTTAAGTATCAATAAACAAATTGTGCCACTTTTAGAAGAAATTACACATCCTTTGTATAATAAAGTCAAACTGACTAAAAGCCACAAGTTTAAACACAAATTAAATATTTGGGTTCGGGTATACAATTGAATGGAATAATATTTAATAGTATTTGAAATAATTTTAACTTAAATTGTAATTTTTTTATTGATACAAATATAAAAGTATCTGATTTGTTTTTAAATAAATTATTTTGAAAAAAGGAAATTTTAGAAAATAAATTTTTTTCAGTGAAAACTGAGTAAGGTAGCCAATTGGTTTTTATGTTTTTCACGTGGGTCCAGCCCAATTCAATGCAAGATTTATGTCACAAAAAAAAAAAAAAAAAAAAAAAAGTGAAACGTATCTTGCTACTCTGCATTTCACCCTATGATTCCGATTCGATGTCCTTGTTTGCAAATTTATGTTCAATTCAAATCCCATATCTAGAACATATTAATAATATCTGAAAAAATCAATTGTAATGCTATAAATATATGATACGCAGTTGTAATATTACATCCGAATTTTAAAATGACATCCAGAACCATGTGAACAGTTGTGGGTATCATTGAGAAAATATGGATAGAGAATGACCGTCCATTCCACCTACCAATAAGCAACCAAAATGATACCCACTTGGCTTTGGTTGGTTTCGAATGATAAATGCACTTTTTATTTCCTTTGCCCTCTTGCCGTGGAACTCTCTCTTTGTCCTTCATTCTTTCACTGATGTCATTCCATGCATGCACCCATATATGTATATATATATATATATTCTAGTATTTTTTTTATAAAATATTATAATATTTTTTTGTTCGGGAATTTACAATTATTATTTTTATAAAAAAAAAAGAGTGAGACCCAAAAAATTTGGGTCCATGAACGCTTTACTTGCACTCTCTATCAGACGGTTCTTATATACATATATATATATATATGTGTGTGTGTGTGTCTATATGCCATATATATATATGTGTATGTATACATTTATATGTGTATACATATGTGTGCGCGCGCACGTAAATATATGTCTATATAAGAATTTAGGTTATATTTTTTAAATCGATGACGTGACATTGTGTAAAATAGTTATTATCTGACTACACAATTAATTTTTCCGTATGTTATTTTAGATTTTTCGACATTGAAGAGTTTATTTTCTGGTATTTCTAAATGATAAATAGGTATCATAAATAAATATATAGACTAAATTTAAAATATGTAAATCAATAAATATATTTATTTTTGTATATTTTAGATGAATAGAGGTTTGTTAGTTGAAATTTGGATAGGGTATTTCTATAATTTAATGGTTTTATTTTAAGTTTTTCTATAAGTCGTAAACTGATATTTTCCATCGCTTGGAAATTATATGGGCTTTTCGTGATATGGGCCAATAATTAATATCCAATTGGGCTGTGCGGAACAAGATGAAATTAAACGAGAGGAAGTTTTTAATCTCAGCAAGCTAAACGGGACCGCCTTGAACAAAAACATAAACTAAAATCATTAAAATATTAAAATAACAATTTGATCCAAATAAAAAAAAAAAGTTATAACACATATCATTACAAACAATTAGAATGTCTAAATTAATCATACAAATATTATAACTAACAAAAAAAAAATTCAAAAGAAATTGTTTCCGACGACTTAGTACGTAAAACTTTAATACCATTTTAAATAGCATTTTTCATATTTCAAACCTACATATATTAACAAAATTTAATGTATATGTGAGAGTTCTCTAAAGTTTTTTATATTTTTATTATGGACCGGATATGATTATTATGGAATAATATTTATCATACCAGTTAAGTCCAATTAAATATGATCGGATTTCGGTTTTAACATATTGGACTTCGGTATCGAATCGAATATAGGATTTAATATATACGTAGATACCGATCGGTTATTATCTAATTTTATGATGGGTTAAATTGGATAATACCGAATAAAAATTTTGGTTATAGTCTCTGGTTTATGTGTACCGATATATGTGGAGTTTGGTTTGATTTTGGTTCATGAAGGTGGAACGTTGAATATACCATCTTGATCAATTAAATAACCATTTAGTTGATTGATTAATGGAGAAAAAAAATGACATTTGGTTTCTTGGTCAATTCATGTTAATGCATTCTTTATTCTCTTATGGTTATCCATCATGTTTTTCAACGAACCAAATCTAAAAAATTCTCTACAAGTTATTGATTCGTATCTCATCAAAGAATTAATGGATTAAATATACACGAAGAATCAGAAACTCATAACCGTTCACGCTTTCGATCATGACTCCAGATTCGGTTTCTGAATCTTCGACTTAGTTTATTTCAATTCCGATATGCAATCACATAGTTACGGATAATGAGTTTATTAAAGTTTCGCGATCTATCGATTCCGTCACATTCACATAAAAAAATCTTGGATTCAAATCAAGTATTTTGTGAAAAAGATTTGACAAGATTATTGAGTGATGGTGGTTTTTGCAAGAGAGAGGGCACGGAAAGGGCTCGAGTGTTCTCCATTTGAACCCCCTATTTGACAACTGTTCTGTAAACCGATTCAAACCCACGTAGGATTCTATTGGAGAATCGAATCAAACCGAACCTATACCATCGGATAATGATTTCATTGCTATGTTGAATATTACGGTGGGACAGTCGGAGTTCGTCGACGGCCCCAAAGCCATAGATGTCGGGTGGAGCTTTTTTCTGGCTATGAATTCGAAAATGAAAGGAGGACAATATTATTAACAACTAAGGTTTAGTATTTAGGTTTCCATTAGGATTTGACATTTTGCTTTTTGGTTGCGGTTTAGTTCGATTTAATTTCAATTTTTATTTTATTTTAGAAAACCTTTATATATTCGAGTTTTAGTTCCAATTTGGTTTGATTTAGTTTCGAATTTGATTTATAATGATAAATATTTATTTTTTAATAAAATTACATTTTATTATTATTATTTTATATTTGATTCGGATTGAATTTTTTAATTTAAAAATATTATAACCATCCGGTTTTTATGTTTAATTCGATTTAGTTAAGATCATTAGTTAATTGATTAAAATTGATTCTACAATTTTTTAAATGACGTGGCAATCAGACGTGGTAGTAAAATGTGCTCAATAGACGGTAATTTAGATTCACGATATTTTTATTTTTAATACGGCAAATCAAAATATACGTAAGTGTGAGCGTGCGTTATTAGAGGATAGGATTTGTTTGATGTCCGATTCATGTTCCTTGGATTCCTTTGGGAGAAATGTTTGGATATAACACCATTCCCGATATACAAACATATTCTCTAATATTTTTCACCTATTTTTAATGGGTGTATTCTTTTTAATTCTAGCCTATAATTAGTAAAATTGTAAAAAAAAGCCCTTCAGGGGCCAGGTCAGGTGGTAAGGGAGCAGGGTGAGCAACCCTGAGGTGGAGGGATCGAATCCCAACATCGCTCTTCCTTACGTTTGACCTGCTCGCCTGTCAGCTCATCCTAATGGGCTGATTTACCTCCTCCGGGTGTGTTGCAGGCTCGTGCGCGTGGGCGGGGGTTTGACCTGCAGGCGCCTAAGCCCAACTACGGCTCGAGCGTTAGGCGTGCCTGGTGGCCAGGTCCGGCGGACTGAGGTCCATGGGGACTGTTAGGCGCGGGTGGTGGCCAGTTCGACACCGTTTGTAAGGGTAGGTAGTCACAGGGATTCCCCACGTTAACAAAAAAAAAAATTGTAAAAAAAAATATTTCAGATTTTACTTATACTCCATTTAGTTCAATTATTTATTCTTTTTGTAACTAAAAAATTTACTGTCAGCTCAACTAATCCTCTAAATCCGTAGTCAATCTTTAATCACACATTTATTTGTGTCTCCTCCTCCCGAAGTGATACTCATACCACTTTTTACACACAACCATTCAAAGTGAGTTGTTATAATATTTTTAAAAAAAAATAAAATTTAATTTTATCTATTTTTCTGTTACTTTCAATTGATTTTGGATTCTTTCTCAATTTTGTCAAATTTAGTTTTAAAAAATATATGAAATCAATTTGATAAAACGGTTAAAATATCCTGAAATATGATTCCCTTTAAACCCAACACTTTGTAGATAATCAATTAAGAAACACGTGAGATTTAGTAATGCCCATAAAAACCATCGAAATTACGGTTGCACCACTAACGGTTTCACTGTTATTCACGCGCCTTCATCATTTCCCACCCCTTTATGCTTTTTTCCCCTTCCCACACACACCGATTCACTTCTTTACTCATTACTCTCTCTAGAAAATCATTTTCGAAACCAAGAAAAAAACACTCCCAGAAAGAAACAAGAAAAAAAAAATGGCGAATTCGATTGTGCTTATGGCGATTCTTCTTCTCCCGACGCTGGTCATGGCTGCGAGGCCAAACAGGAACCCCTTCGTTGTTCGAGGTCGCGTCTACTGCGACACATGCCGTGCCGGTTTTGAAACTCCGGCCTCTACTTACATCCCCGGTAAATTTACAACCATCCGAATTCGATCTTTACGGTTTCCTTTGATATTTTTTAGGATCCAATCGAGTTTGTGGTTTTTGTTTTCGTTCTTGTTTCGTGTTTTGAATTTGTGAATCTGTGATTGTTCGGTCGGTTTATTTCCTTTTTGTCATTGTGGATTCACGGTACGCACTGTGTCAGTGTGGATCAGGGATTGATTGTACGATTCTATGTTAGATCCGTGAGGAACATTGTGTTCACAGCATCGTATGCTAAGTTTGGTCCGACTAAGAATTTTTCTTTTCCGAACCGAAATGATCGTCTGGTTCGATCTGCTGCACATAAACCCCTCCTCCCCTCCTTTTGATCCCGTGTTCTAGGGATCTGTCCGGTTCAGTTGAGAATGCATGCGATTGTATAACAAGGGTTCTTATAATCGGCATATATGTTGAGAACTTAGGCTGGATTTAAACTTGTGTACAGGTGCCGTGGTTAAACTGGAATGCAAAGACAGGAGATCAATGGAGTTGGTGTACAGCCACGAGGCTAGAACCGACTCAACGGGGGCATACAAGATCTGGGTTAACGAGGACCATGAGGACCAGCTCTGCGATATCATGCTCGTCAAGAGTCCTCAACTAGGCTGCTCCAAGGTCTCTCATGGACGTGAACGTGCCCGGGTTACCCTCACCCGGTACAACGGCATCGCTTCAGATGACCGATACGTTAACAACATGGGGTTCGAGAGAGATGAGGCCTTATCAGGTTGCTCTGAGATCATGAGGCAATACCAAGAAAACGAAGAGTAAGCCACTTACATCCTAAGTCCATGCAGTAGTTTGTGTTTTCCGTCTTTATCTGCTCCTTTTGGATTCTCCTCATAGTTCTTGGTGCTTTTCGTAAACCCATCTTTCTTCTTCTCCTTCTGTTGCTTTGGCACTCTGAACGTTGATTCTACCTGGTGTGTTTGGTATTGCCATCTATTGATCTGTTCTTTGTCACATGTCATCTCAGTATGAAATGACAGACTATTGAGGTTACAATCTGACTTTAAGACCCGAAAAGAACAGGGTCTCATCACAGGATCACTCCTGCAATTCAATGTATCGAACAGGAGAGAAATTAGTACAAGGAAACATACAATCTACATGTTGATGACCGGTAGCGGTAGTCAACCTAAAAACCGCTCACTGGTTATCGAACCTAATCTTTGCTTTCGTTCTTGACTGGAGAATGCTCATCTGCAGAGACACTCTCACAATCGGGCTGAGCATTGTCAGTCTCTTCACCCTCTGAGACATTCTCGGGGTAAGGGACAGGGCTTTCGTTTTGCTCATTTTCCGAGACATCATCAGATGTAGGTACCAGACCGAGTGAATCTAGAGATGGGGAAGCACAATCCTTCAAGACCGCAAGCCTTTTCTGGTCGTCTTCTTTCATCCTTTCGGCGTATTTTTCTATATTGAAACATGAATCGCTGTTTCCACCAAAGGCAGTCTCCAACTGGTCCATGTCAAAGAGATCCTCCAGTATTTTCTTGGTCTCGAGGTCATCTGAGTATACAAACTTCACTTTGTTCCTTGTCTTCGGCTCCAGAAATGGCTTCACCAGCTACAACACACACACACACACGAAAGTAATTCACACACTCACAAAAAGGTATTGTATTGAATGTATGTATATACCATAGTTCACCTTCCAAAAGGGTTCAAAGAATTTGGGCGGGTTGTAGAGAATGGCCACACCCAAGCGTTCAGGGTAGTGCTCTTGTAAAACATGAGCCGTTTCTTGTGTCGCCTTCAACGACACATTCGCCAAGCTGTAGCCATGGAAATCAATCAGCCACACCATCTGCTCCTGGTCTGGTGGCAGATTTTGGACAGCGTTCTCCATACAATACACCAAGTATCTGATCTGCCCCTTCACCGATTTAGAGTTCTGTAAATGAAAAACGACGATGGCAATGAGATCGAGTAAAATCTCATTATACACAGGCAAGGTGAACGAGAGAGATTGGTATCTATGACCCGATCCATAACAATAAGATATCATACCTTGTCTATTGAGACAATTTCTTACCGTACATTTTGGGAGCCGATAGATTCTATTATACAAGAAAGAATTCGTGGAATAATCACCTCTTGGCTGGGTCTAAGTACAAGAACAGGTCTTCCTTGTTTGTCAAAACAACTCGATCTATAAACCTTCCCTGTCTCCCCTTCATGAGCTATTTCCTCCTGCAAATTTCCCACCATAGTATTCAGCCAATATCATGAACCCGGATAAGAAAATATTGAGGAATCCGAGTCTGTTTGTCTGTTTACCCATCGGATTTGCTCCGGTTTGTATTGAACACTCCATTTCAAGGTTTCTTTAAGCATTTTAGCGGCTTTCTTGACATGCCAATTCCGTGCCCTTAAGTATCTCGAGATCGAATCATCGGTACAGAGATTCGCCAGTTTTTCTGGCAACGGCCCGAGGTGATTCCTCATCTCCTTTATCTGCCGACATTATCAGATGAATGAAATCTTTTATATATCTCTCCACCACATTTACAAGGCAATGGCAGTGTTTCAATGAACCAAAGTTCCATAGTACCTTTGCCTGCTCTTCTTCTGCAGGAACATGTTTCTCGAACCCATTGGAAGATGATTTCTTCGGATTAGGGTTCATAATTCTCGACTCCCTGCGCAGATATCAGGTTATCATCTACAAGATGACGACAAAATCCAAATTTTATCATCATCATCCTCATCTCCCCACAGAGAAAATTTCATCATGTAGTTCGTTGCGTAGTTTTGAGGAAAAATTAGAATCAAACAGCAAATCAAAGGCGCTAAGAATGTTGGCAATATCAAGAGACACAATACATCTCCTTCAGTTTCGATGATTTAACAGAAAGTCAACTGTAAAGACAAGATTATCAAAACACAGTTGATATTATGGAAAACAAGACAGAACCCAGCTTAATTCCAATCTAGAAGAGGCCAACCAAACACAGAGATTGATGGTCGGAAGTGCCGATCGAGCAAAACCCGTTTCTCAATATGAGCGGCAATCAATGTCGGGTCGGGTCGTGCCGATTTCTGACAATCCGATCAACAAAGATCAAGTTCAGGAATTTAATCAAAACCCACATCAAGCAAATACCAGAAATATCACTTGTGAACTCACCTGAACGATCCAAGCAAATGGAGGAGAAGAAGAAACGATCCGAGGGGCTCAAGGAAACACGGAAGTGAAGGTCAAACGCCGATATGGGGTGTGTGTGGAATCAGAACAGAAGCATACAAATGGGTTTCCAGAATTTTTTGTAGACAAAAAATAAATAATAATCGTATCATAATCAAGGGGCCCATCGAGGAACCAGAAAACACTAGAAATTGTTTTCTAGAAGAAAATAACACAAAAAATCCCTTACCTTTGGTCTGAAAGAATTCATGTCACGAAAATTACAAGTGTTTCTCTAAGATGTGAGGAGGAAATTTATTACTAACTTACCTGTGTATTTGTTCATTTGACACAAATGCTTTTGGCTACAATATGTTGAAGAGGAAATTAGAGAGTTAATTTCCTACACAGGTCCAAATGCCCATCAAGAGCATGAAAAGGACATTGTCCATTCAAATGTCGCTTCTTGATTTTATGGGGTTTGTTTCCAACGATTTATCGGTTCCACGTGAATTGTAAACTATTGCGTGGGATCAAACATTTATTCACTGCGCCATCGAAAGGCAGCCTTCGTTTGATTATAATTAATCGTATAAAAAAAAAGATTATGATATCGTCTTGTTGTATATGATTTGATGGATTTGGTGATTTTTTTAGGGCATTCTATTGTAGTAGTTAAAGTTAATTATTGGGTGGAATTAGGATGGATTTTGGGTATAGATGTGTATTCGATTGACTAGACATCCATCCAGAGATGTTCAAATTCCAAGTAATGTCCTCCTCAGGCTCACACGTCAGTGTGGAAAACGTGGGCCGAGATTGGGCCCAATATGGGCTTCTTATTAATTGAGCCCATGATTTAAAACGCGGCCCAAAGAGAGCATCGAGTGTGTAGGAAGGAACCGCTCATAAGATTTACAATTGAATGGGAATTAGGTCTAACTAAACATATAATTTGTAGGTTTTCTTTTGACTTCTCGTTGTACTTGGTAAGACGTAGCTAAAGCCCATGTTAAACCCTAATACCTCCGATGGATTTCTTCGATTTGAGCATTCCGTGCGATGAAAAGGATGTAAGATCGTGACGAAAGCCATGGAATTGGGATACTTTGGGATCGCGTATAATCGCTCGATGAAGGGCGTAATGTCGGAGAAGGATCGTTGTGCAATCCCTCTTCTCACCATTGAATCACTCGTCAAGTTGGCTCCGCCCTTGGCTTCGTCGGTCGGTTTCCACAGACACCTCCTCGGGGTCCGGAGAGAAACTCCGTTCCGACAGTACACGCGCATCACGGTCTCCGTTGAGAGTAACGCTCAGAGTCTGGCTTTGAACTCGGACAACCCGGTTCTGAAAAGTTACGATGTTGTTGGTGTTAGGCCTTTGAATCAGAGCGCGTTTGATCAAGCTTGTGAAAAAGCAAAGGTCGATATGATTTCAATCGATTTCTCGGGCAATCTGGCATTCCGGCTGAAACATCCCATGGTTAAGGCTGCAGTTCAGGTTCGATGATCTCTCAATCTCCTCTTCTTAGGCGTTTTCTGTTTATTTTGACAAATGTAGGGTTTGTTCGTTTGCTACAACTTAAATGGATTGTCTTTTGGGCAGAGGGGGATTTACTTCGAGATCAGATACTCGGATCTTTTGGTGGACGCCCACAAGAGGAGGCAAGTTATATCGAATGCCAAGGTGAGAAAGTTTGATTCTTTAATTGCACATTGTACTCTGGGAAACTACAACTTGGATATTTGATGTGGTTGTATCCATTGTCTATGATATATGCAGCTGTTGGTGGATTGGACAAGAGGGAAGAATTTGATCATATCAAGTGGTGCTCCTTGTGTCACAGAACTACGGGGGCCAATCGACGTGACGAATCTAATGTCATCATTGCTTGGAATCTCTACTGAAAGAGCCAGAGCTGCCATTTCGAAAAATTGCAGGAATATGATAAGCAACGCTCTGAGGAGAAAACGCTTCTACAAAGATACTGTGCGGGTTGAACTAGCATCTCCGGAAGAAAATTTCAACCTCAGATGGGACCCCCTCTCCAGTGGCGACGATGGTGATATGGCTTTAGATGATCTTTCCAAAGCTTTTGCTGAAACTACTAAGTCCTCAAAGGCGATTGACTTTGCTTGTATACTTGATGACTTGCCATCACATGGTTTTCGGTTTAATGACAAGGTGAATGATGATGAACCAGTGGTGCAGAGTGATCAAGCTTCTGAACTACCTTTGGCTGCACCTGATGGTAATCTTCTAGAAAATGGACCCATGAGCCATACTTCTGACCAGAAGAAGGTTTAATCAAGTGCTCTTGAGATACGCAGTTTCCGCCAGGAACGAGGTCTTATGTTGCAAGATCAAGCAGGAGAGTTTCAGACATTAATACAAGGAGGCGTCATGGATTTAGATGATGCTAACCCACACTGTTCCTCCTCGGCTTCAAAGGGTAGACCGTTGTTGTTAAACAGTGTTAAAATCTTAACTTCAACTGGTTCTGTTCCTGTGGATGATGTTGTGAGCAGCAAAGGAGCTACCGGTGTGGCTTTGCATGGCATGCCTTTGCGAAGACATGATGGCGATGATGATGATGGGAAGCACATTTCTGGTTCTCGAGACAACACATTAGTTGGTGAAGATGATAAGATGATAACTGATGATTCTTCATACCCAAATGGTAACCATAGAGAAATGGCGGTGGCGATGATGGAAGGCCAGAAATATGAAATAGGTGAAAATGGTAGTAGAAGTAGTAGTCTTCATAACATTTTTCCTGGGATCACTACTGATTTGGTCAGAGAACCGCCACTTAAACAGTTACACCATGGTCAAGACACAGTCGCTTCTGACAAATCTCCAAGGTTAGGGGAAGAGACTGAAGATCGAAATGGTCGTAAAATCTCGGTTCAATCTGTAGAAGGAACCAGTGGCTCGAACTCATACTCAGGTAGGAAGAGAAAGAAGGTTCGTCTATGGCAGCTTCAGCCTTTCAAGCCGTTCCTACATCCTTCACGCTTTAAGCGCCTCTGCAAAAGATCGAAGCATCCACGAGCTTCATCATTGCGAGAAAATCATTCTCTTAACCAAAGATTTAACTTATGATACTGTTTTTGTAACTTTTTTTTTTGTGTTTAGTAGATACACTTGTAGTCATGTACTAACTCCTATGTTGAACTAATCATACTCAGAGAGTATTTTATAAAAGAAAATCTAAATATTATATGATATTACAATATTCCAAATATTACGTAATTTTTATTAACCTCTCAAAAAATATTGTTATTAAATCTTATTCCTGTTTAGGATAATAAAACCATACTAAAATATAATCATGTAAAATGTCCACCCGAAAAAAAATATACTAATACAAAATATACATGTATAATGTATATTATACTCAAGTGGGAAATTCTAAAAAATATTCCTATTTTGTTTCATATTACTTCAGGACATGAAAAAAACACTTCATTTATACCCGTTATAAATATATATTTTACCCATTATCTTTTCTCAATTTTCTCTTTCTCTTACATGTGTCAATTTTGGCGTGAAACCCAAGTCCGGTCCGAATCTACCTAAAAAATATCGAGTTTTGGCTCAAATCGGGCTTCGCACATATGTCCAAAAAAACCGATTTTTTTTTATAAAAAATTTAAAATAATAAGTTTTCAAAAAAGAAATTGAACGAACTGACCGATCCTACCTGAATCTAAAAGGTATAAAATCAGAATTCTGAGTTGATTGTTTAGGTTAGGGGTGGCCATTTCGGTTATTAACCGAATAACCGAGCCGAACCGAACCGAATAAGATATAACCGTATCCGAATCGAACCCGACATCAAAACCGAACGGTTATGATTTACTTAAACCCGAAAAACCGAAACCGAATCCGAACCGAACCGAATAAAAAATAACCGAAAAAACCGAGAGAATAACCGACATTTTCTTTGAAAAATTGAACTTTTTACCAAAACCGAACCGAACTCGAACTGAAAAAAACCGAACCGAACCGAACCGAAATTTATATAAAAACCGAATGGTTATAGTTTTTCTATAACCGAAATAACCGAACCCGAATATAACCGAACCGAACCCGAACCGAAACCCGAATTGGCCACCCCTAGTTTAGACCTAAAAAAATCGGCCCGATCCAAATTTGAGCCCGAAACCTTCAGACCGCCGGCCCTCCCTCCTTATTTATTTCTATATTAAAATTTCTCTCAAACCTCTATTTTCCCATTTTATTTGTCTCTCTTTACTATGTTGTTGTTTTTACTTTTTAGTTTCCCTTGACCTTTCTAACCATGCAACTGTGTGATCGTCATCGACAACTCCAGTGATTACGCGTTGCTCCATGCCTTCATCGACGCCAAGCTGGAGTCCATCTTGGCTCAGCCCGGGAACTAGGAGAAGCCCTAGTAACACTAAATAAGATCTATTAGACCTCTTTTAATCTTTCATTTAAAAACGATACCACCTCTCGTTATTTTTAACTATTTCCTTTTTATTTTTTTAATATTTTTTCCAGTTCGTGAAACGCGAATTGAGACGATATGAGTCGAATCAGAGTTTTTCTAGTTCATGAAAAAAGAACAACCACCGAATCAGATCCAAAGTAGACTGGTTCAAAATTTAATGGGTATTGGATTCGGATTTAGATTGGATTCGAACTCATCTAGATAATGATATTAGAATACCCAAAATTTTGGATTTGAATTCAAATATTAAATAAATATTTCAGGGTTATGCTGGATAAATACAAAATTACCCTTTTACTCTTAGGTTAAAGGCATTTATGAAAATAGTATTATCTGTATAGTATAAAGGTTGAGACTTTAATTCGACATAGTTTTACCGGGTTTTTTCACTTGTTTAGTTGTGAAGTTAGTTTTTTTTTCTTGATGGTTTAGACAAAAAGCAGTTTTTAATTAAAAATATTTTGAAAAATATCTATGTTATGGGTAGTACGAGCAAATTCAGATTTATCTTGTTTACTTTTAGACTGGGTTATACATTTAATTTTAAAAACTTTGATAAATATGTTTATGTTCTAAATAAGTAATAGATTATTTTTAACGTTGATTATTCAGTTTTTTTTATATATATATCAAAACTGAAATGACAACCTAGTACGTATGATCAGGAATCAGGATAGTTTTGAAGAGTTGAGAAACGGGGAATCTGTCTAGATATCTTCTCAAGTGGAAAATCATTCATGGGCTCTCGAAGACAGGTTTTACACACACTCTCTCTCTCTCTATCCAATATTATCAGCCAAGAAGGGAGGGTTCTGTCATTTCATTTTCTTTTGACGACTTACATATTCAAGTCCGAATCCACGGGAAGGAAAATCGATTTAAGTTAACGCGAAAATTACAGCTGATGAATCAACATTAACGCTACACATGATGACGCCCCACTTGTGTGGTATGGAATCACGGAACTTGCATAACCCTGATTCACGAGTAAAAACGCAAGGACGGATGCTGAAGGGTAAACGAGCATATCACACCTTGGTTTTCTCATGGCAGAGTCGAGGCAGCGAGTTTCGAGATGAAGGGGGGCGATCAGGATTCAGCTGAATTTCCCGATTTCCATCTTCTTCTTGATTGCCTTTTGGCCATGGTATATGAACGCGTCTATTATCCCAGACACGGTGAATACACCTGTATTTACATAGTTAGATGTTGCAGTTCCCACCAAACAAAAAATAATACAGGGAGGAAGAGTTATCTTGATGAAGAGAATATATACATATACCTCCGACTATGGCACAGACACTCGTCAAAAAGTGCAAGAACGGTATATGTTGCTCCGTGAATGTTACCTGGGGAAATCCAAAATGTAATATGCATAAGCCGAACAAGAAGATTTCTCGGTGGGATTTCGGGGGGAAAAAATAGCTGGAAGACAAAACCTACCTTGATGGGGGAGAGATCGTAGAAGAAGAACACACCAGGCAACGATTGCAGCTGACCGGCTTCTGATGTCTTAACATGCTCAGTCACAGAGAACTGCAAACCAGGGGCCTCTTTGGGATTAAAATCGAATGGTGATTAAAAAAAAAAGTTAAATGGGAAGGAGAATACCATAGAGCAGGCATCACCTGATTAGATTGAATTGTGTGTCCTCTGATGTCTGTGTATACTGTAGGTACAACCTGAAAAACAGATGAACAGGACTTTGCGTCTAAGAAATTTCAGTTAAGGCGTAAATAAATTGTCGAGAAGTTGATCTAGCAACAAACCTTGATAAAGTATTGATACATAGCATTAGGCGTGTCTTGGCTCCAGTGGACTCTGCATATTTTTAGTACCTTATAATATGCTTGTTTTACCAACAGAATAACTGTACTGTGTTATGATTTGAACGGAGAGTCAAAAATGGCAGAGAGAGATTTTACCCATCAAGAGGGTTTACAACACCAGGAAAGTAGTCCCCGAAAGCCAGTCTGTTGATCTTGTGACTTATCTGCAGAGAGACCCTGTATGTTAATCCACTGGCTTATCTTATTTAGGAAAACATGAAGAATAATATGAAACCAATAAGAAAGCGCACATTAAAACTGTCTTTATGAAATGCAAGGAGATCATGAACGTGAACGCCCGATTGATGAAAGCTTTTCCCTGGGGCAAAGTGGAAGTTCCCAGCCACCTTATTAACCTCCAAAAACCCATAGATATTACACCCTTCACCCTCCTCGTCCTTTACCCGTTGTAGAAAACCCTCTCGCTTGCACTGAATGACCAACAAACAAGCGAAAGAGACTTCAACTCGAGTTTGCAAGTACGAAAAATTATTAGCTCTCCAAAGTATACTTCAGTTTACAACTTTGAAGATCATACAGAGAAAAAGCATGCAAGCGGAACGAAGGCTCTAACAAAGAAATAGAGAAAGATAAAACATCGTAACAGGTCTTTCCTTCTGACTTTTCATGTTGAACTCAAGGAATCTCCTAGGTCAAAAAAGGAAATTTGGCAACCAATGTGTACGTTGTAGATTTACCTGGTCAATCAAATCTGGTTCTGAAAGAGCCCATCCTTTCTTTCTATATGCTTCACGAACATCCTCACATGAATTGCAACAATCATGATCTGACTGAAAATGAAGGGATGGAATGGGTCACATAAAAATTTCAAAGCAATCGCATGCGAAAAAGTAAAAACACGACCAGCTATCATGTATGAAAGAGTATTAACGTCATCAATATTATAACAGGATATTCACTATGACCTCTTATCTACCACTCAACTATCAATTAGGGTAGATCCAGTTCATGAATACACCTAGAATCAGTGCACGAGTTCCAGAGGCAATGAGATAGAGAGCGGCAGAACTCACCGCTTCTGCACCATAACAGGAACCACAGTAAGTCTCATTATGCCCAAGCCTCCCACCATGTTTTTGCAGTGGTTTTTCAATCTGCAACAGGCGGAAAAAAGCAAACGAATTTGAAAGAAAAGAAATCACGTTTAGGTAATGCATTGCATCTGATCAACATGCTATTTGCAGGCAACTTCATCACAACGAATTTGAAAGAAATCACTTTTAGGTAATGCATTGCATCTGAGCAACATGCTATTTGGAGGCAACTTCATCACAATAGGCCACATTTAACCGCATGATGATTATGCAATATAACTGTCCTGAATATAGCAACATGTACACCCAAAGCTCCTAATTGTTTCCTCAAACAAACGTATGTTCTACCCATTCTAAAAGAAAGGTGAGGCCAGAGATACAAATTTAAGAAACAGCAGACTACTAACCTTAGGAGCACCGATTCCATCCTGCCTTGCTTCTATGATGTTGCCATGAGAATCTATTCTTCTCTTGATTATGTCATGTTTCTGAGATTCATGCATAAAATCCGGGGATCAGTGATTCAGCCACAAAACTGACTACCAAATAAATCCCTCGAGCACAGAAACAGAAATTAAAACAACATATGGTTTCTGAATCTGAACATAAAACAAACTCCAGCGTGTTAAAACAGCGAGTTCCAACATACCACGTCAAGGTGTTGCTCCCCACTGATATCCATGGCGTCAACACTAAGAATTGAACATGCAAGAGAGGGAAAAGTGACATCGAACTGCATTTTTGTTACACAAAAACCAGAAACGTTATTCAGTTTTTTTTATTTATTTATCAAGAAACCAAACAAAATGCCTAGTGTCGAAGCAATGAGACAAAACATATTCTCCGACAGATCTGAGAAGGAAAAAAAACAAAAGTCAGTTATTTTGAAGAAAATGAAGTATCTCGGACATTACGTTGATGCGTAGTGTTTCTCCCCTAGACGTGTCAACCACGAGCTCCGTCTCAGTGACGGTATGAAGATACAATCCTAAACAAAGAAACAAAAAACCCTCAAAATCAACGACACAATATACAAGAGATCGCACGAATCTGTTAAAAGCAAATGCGAAACACAGGAATCTGAAACGTTAATTGCGAAAATTCAGCTATAACACGTACGCAGCTCAGAGAAGAAAAGAAGGAACATAACAACGGAGGAGATGAGTGTGATAACGCCTCCAGAAAGCGTACGGCTATAGAAATCCTCATTGATCTTGGGATACGCATCCAGATTCCGCAATTTATTTATGATCCCAGCCATTTCGAAACCCTAAATCAACAAATTCGGTCAATTCCGGACTCGAGATTCGCTGATTCAATCCCTAGAATCTTAATCCAGCATTAAAATCCTGATCTAACCCAACAGGAACCGGGATAACGAGAGGAAATCACCAGAAATCCGGGCAAAATCCGGCAAGGATACGCCGATGACAGTCGCCGGAAGTCGAAAAATCCTCCGACGAGGCGTTCCGATATCTCCCAGGCGAGACACGGACTTGGTTCGGTTGTCTGCGCTTTTTCCGCTTTGACTCGGTCTTCTTCCCCGTCGTACGATCTACATAAATGAAACGGCGTCGTTTATCCGTTCTACGAGGCCTTTGATTGGGCCATCAGTAGCCCAAATAAAAGAGGGTAGGCCCATGAGAAACCAGAGGGGGTGTCGTTTGTCTAAGATTGATCGGTGCATGTAGGATGATTGTAGGCGTCTTTCGTGTTAAACAAAAATGTTTAGAAATTACAACTTGAGAGTTTGTCGATTCAAAATACTGGATATTATAGTAGAATATTAGAATGAAAAAGATATTTTCAAATGGATCTTTTTTCTTTGCTTTGATATTATACTTATTTTTAAGGGAATATCACCCAAACAATTTGTTTTTTAAATCGGAAGAAAATACACAAACTTTACAATTTTTATAATAAACCTATACAAACCTTAACACCATTGAAATTTGATATAAGTATAGATAAATTTGTCACCTGACGGTTAAAAATAATTTTAAAAATAAAAAAATAAATATTTTAAATGCATTTCTAATTTTTTTTTTATTTTTTATTTACCGTGGCAAATTATTTGCCTGTTGTGGCTATATACCTACGTCAAATGTCAAATTTTTTACTACGTTTGACTACGTCAGGTTTTGGTGAGTTTATAACAATAATTGTAAAGTTTGTATAACTTCTTACAAAATTTAAAGTTAATGTGTTTATTTGTGAAATTTTAAAAATTCAGATGATATTTACAAATTTAAAAAAATTAAAAAAAAACTTTTGTATATATTTAGAATAAAGTATGGAAATTAAAAAAAAATAAAGAAAAATTTAAAGTAAAAAAACTAACCGATCCAATACAAAACTAAACCAATTAAGCCGGATAATAACAATTTCAATCTAGACCGGACATAACCGGCCAGATACACTTCTATAGTTCTATTTATCTAATACGTATCCAACTTTCTGTCTTTGTAATTCTTAGAATAAAAATATTTTTTGAGGAAGCTGTCGGTGCTGACAGTTTTTCGAAAGAGAAAGAGGACTCAAAAAATGTTACATGTCTAGAGGAATAGACTCGAGGTATAGCATGGATGAGACACAAAAACCACTTTGAGTTTGAGAGATCCAAACATACGAGAGAAGTATTTTAAGAGGACAAGAAGAGAAAAGTGTTTTAAGAGGACGAGAAGATTGAATTGTAGACGTAGAGAATGGAAGTTTGTAACTTTTATTAATAGAGCAATGTTCACATAACAAAGTTTTGACTAGGGGTGGGCGATCGGGTCGGATCGGGTTATTCAGATTCGGTTATTTCGGGTTCGGGTTATTCGGATTTGGAATTTTCATATACAATCGGATATATAATCTTAATCGGTTCGGTTCGGGTTCGGTTCGGATTTTTTTGGGTTCAGTTCGGGTTTATCCAAACAAATATTCGATAAAAAATTACATCGAAATGTGTTATAGAAAATGTAATTTGTATGTACCAAAAACAACCTAATATTAATAGTCTAGTATCATAAAAAAAATCAAATTTGCGAAACTTAAAAATGAAAAAACAATGATAAAATAAATAAGATAATAAATAAAATTTTAAACTAAAAGCAATATAAAAAATCAACTTGGTGAGCTTTTTTTTAAGATGAAACACGAGTCTTTATACCTGTATCAATGGAAGACAAGCCGAAAAAACAAAACACTAAAATCATTTTAGGTTCCTTTACAATGATACAGAAACCAATGGGTTTTAGACACACTCGATAATCCAAGCTCCACCAATTACGAATGTCACAACGGGTTTTGGACCATTCGAGTGTTTAGAAAGATACAGATCAAGCCTGGACAAAACAAAACAGTTGAAATTGAAGAAAAGATAACTCCTAATACCATAAACTATACTCCTGCGGATCTGACGAGAGAAGAAATAGTAATTTCTGACTTCAAAGACCAGAACAAGAAATAAATCCAAATTATCAACACAAGACCAGATAAAATGATATAAATCATGATCATCAACAAAATGAAAACATCAGAAGAATTGTATAGCAACCAAGAGCAAAAAATCTTGTGATCCATCTGTAACCTACCCTAAATAGTAACCTAAATAACAACAATGATTAGTTAGAACTTATCTTCGATTCTAGCAGGAGAGAGTGAAGATCCAGGCGAAAAGAAGCACAGATCGGTGGAACTCAGAACTCGACGAAGAGGAGAAGCTCAGAACTCGAAGGAGACAAGAAGCTCGGCTTCGATTCCAGCAGTAGAAGCATAGCTCGATGCCGACGGAGAGGACAAGCTCAGAACTCGACGGTGTTGGGCGGAACTCGAGACTGCAACAGAGAGACGAAGCGGAAAGTCCGAGGATTCGAGCTCGAGATTGAAACAAAGGAGACGACACCGAGACAGAGGAGACGACGACGAGACGGAGGAGAAGATTCAGGCGGAGCAAGCTTGGCTCCGCGATGGAGAAGACGAAACGGCAGCCGCAGAGAAGGAGAAGACGAAGGTAGCAACAATCGAACGAAGGGTAATTAAATCCTAAACCTAAATAATTAAACTAATGTTTAATTAAAATCGGTTATTTCGGATAACCGAACCCGATCGGTTATTTACCCGAACCGAACCGATCCGATCGGGTTTGGGACAATGGTAACCGATCGGTTATTTCTGCAACATCCGAACCGATCCGAAAACCGATTAATCGGATCGGTTTTACCCAAACCCGATTAACCCGACCCGTTTGCCCAGCCCTAGTTTTGACATAGACGACAACGGGAGAGAAAAATCATGAATGACACAATGGAGGACATCAGATGAAGGATGTCCTAACCGTGAATGCCAAGTTAGAAGGCTTTTTTATTGTAGATAAGGCTTGAGGGGATGAGTCCGAAAGTGACGAGGGAATCATGGGTCATTCATAAACACCATCTCTAAGAAGTTCGCTTGTGATTTGTGCCCTCTAATGAGATCCTTCACTTGAAAATGCAAAGGAAAGAATTCTATTGATACCTTATTAGTGGTGCATAGTTGATGTATAGAGATGAGGCTCTTGCGAAGAGAAGGAACACAAAGAACGCTAGTGAGGAAAAGAGGGCGAGAGTGTGAGAGAATTGATATAGAACTCGTGTGTGATATGGCGTGATTTGAACCATCTTTAAGCTCAACATCATCACCACCGGAGAAAGGAGAATGAAATGAGAGATTCGCCAAGTCGGAAATGATGTTGTATGAGGCGTCGGAGTAAAGGAGCCATGTGGGAGAAGTTGGATGAGCAAGGGAAACAACAATGGTAGGTGGTTTGCTCGAGCCGATCATGAGGGTGACGGAGATGGCCCTGACATGAGATTGTCAAGAGCGGCGGGACGAAGAAGATGACATCATGTGGCACTGTGGCCGAAAGTCCCATAGGACATTTTCCTTGATAATCGGAGGGCTTGCAATCCGGCTGTTGGGAGAACTGATTATGCCAATTGTTGCAAGGAGTCTGGCTAGATGTCTTTGCTTGAGTGTTGTTTGCAATGATTGACATGAGTATTGGTAAAGGTTCGGTACTCATAAGAATCGATTCGTGATTGGATAATTTCTCATGGAGCTCAATAAAGAAAATTGAAAGATCTCGGACATTGATTGCATCAATCATGGGTTTGAATTCATCTCCCTATCCAGACAATACAAGATCAATGAGATCCTCATTTTTAAGAGGCTTACTGAGGAGGGTCAATTCGTTTGCTTTAATGTTCTTGGTTCCATGGAGCTCAATGTTCTTGGTTCCTTTGGTGAATCGGCGCATATTATCATTGATCTGCTTGATGTGACCACGAGATGATCGTCCATAGGTGGATGCGAGTGTGCTCTAGGCAGCATTGGTGGTTTCATCATGGACAATAAGTGTTTGGCACGAAACGTTGATAGATCCAAGAAGTGTGGAAAAGATTAGTCGATCTTGAGAGTCTAGGTTTTACCACATTCTCCTAGGTAATAGTTGGGGAGACATCATATTCCATATCAAGATAGTCTTAGAGATCATATCCATGGAGTAGAGAACGAATTTGAAGACTCCAAATGAGATAGTTTGTGGTCGAAAGCTTGTTGGTCATAGTCTTGTCGAAATGTTTATTATTTTCGGTTTAACTTTTGAATAAGTCTGTAGAATTATTCTACAGGTCATATTGTTTTTAGCCGGTTTAAACGGACAATTGTGTTGCACATTATCTAGGCACGTTAGTTTTTAGTTAAGTTTAGTTGTTATTCTTTCTATTATAAATAAAGAAGGACAACACCCATGATTAGTATGGGATTGAAAAATAATTTCAGATTTTTCTTTGTCTTCTTCAGTTACAATGAAACATTGAAAAACCCAATCATCTCTGTTATTAATAAATGCAATCTGAAATTTTGCATTGGTTTTATATTTGGTAAAGCTTCCGTTGTAAAACAAAGCTTAGTGAGATTGGTAACATTGATGTTAACCAATGGAAAAGGTGGAGATTCAGAGTTGGTCGTAGCCAAACCGGGTCGGCGGGTAGGGTGGAGCCATCAGAATTGGCGGGGCCGGCAGACGAGGAAAAATACCGAGGATTCTGAAAAATTTGCAGTCATGAGATGAGATCACTGTGGTTCTTATACTATAGACGATATCAAGAGGATTTGGAAATATATTACTTAATATATTTGATGAGTACAATACATGTATATATACAAGAAATAAGAAGATATTGTTACAAAGATATCAAAAAGATATTGAGAGATATCCTTCCTTTAATAAATATATAGTTATCGTTTAATTCATTGCTTGGTACTTAAAGATAATTTGTTTTTCTAATATATCTAGCTATATGAGAATATCGACTTTTCGGATTTGAGAATCAAAATTCACTCAATAATAATAATAATAAAAAAGACAACATGTGAGTGTTCAAATACTTACATAAATATGAATACAAAGGTAATTGATTTGCAAATTTAAACTAAACAAACTTTTATTTTGAATTTGTATGAGTACTTAAATCACATAATCACTCTTAATTTCAAAAAA